TGCTTCCTCCTATATATCAAAGCTACTGATGATCAGTAGAGTGTCAGCTTGAAGAAGCTTCTGTAAGAATCCCACGAGGCCACCAGGGCAGATACGGGGACAGTCACACGTGAAGTTGGAACTGCTCACGGCACATCCGGTCATCTGCAGGAATCCTGGAGTGCACGAGACTGGCCGCCTGGAGCTGGAGGCCAGGACACCGGGGCTTAGAGGTGGCACTTGGGGCCACAGGAGTGGGTACCATTGTTTAGGCCAAGTGTGTGGAGTCAGAAAAGCAGAGGGCCCAGGACTGAGCCCTGGAGGGAGGAGTGACATTTGTGCGGGGGTGGGGGGGCCGAGAAGGGATGGGGGGAGACCAAGGAGCAGAACGAGAAGCAAGGGAGCAGTTTCACAGGCCCCAGAGGAGAGGGGAGGGAGGAGGAAAGGCCAGCAGCGCCAAGGGCTTTGGGGCGGTGGTGTGAGATGGGAACCGAGAAGTGATATGTGGCACGGCATGGGCGCAGGGGGCGGGAGCCACGTCTGAGTTCCTACTGGAGTAAAATTTCCAGCTGGCTTCGGCCCGGCCACGACACACCTGGTGGGTTAGAACATGAAGCGCTCTGGGTGACCCTCCCAGCTGATGAGCTAAAATCCTGGCTTAAATATGTATTTTGAAACCTTCATCATTATCTCTCTGAGATAGAATGACAGTAACAAATTCACTGACTCCAACAACGCAGCAGCATCAGAAGCCCTGGCAGGCGAGTGAACATCCAAGTCTGCTTTCGCCCTGAGGAGCTGAGGACTCTCAGAGTCACGGACCCTGCACTGGCAGCTGGGCGAGTCTGGAGGACACAGGAGCACATCGGGGGCCTGCCCACGTGAAAAGTCCAGTGGTGTTTCTCTGCGTAAATTGGGAGCTGGGCGGCCATGCCCTCCGAAGAAGGGTGAGTAAGGAATAAATCTGCCAAGAAAAAGGCAGCTAACTTGCCTGACCTTGGCTTTGGGTGAGGGGAAACCCCTCCTCCCTGAGTTTGTAATCACAAGCTGGTCTCAAATGTCTTCTAGTTCATCTACTTGTTGGCTTGAAAAGTCTCTAACATTTAAATATAATTTAAATGGTTTTGGGTTGTTTTAATAAAGCTTTAAGAAAAAAGAACAATTAAAATTTTATAAAACACACAGAAGCCCTATGGCTGACAATCAGCAAAATAATAATTAATAATAATAATAATAACAACAACAAACACAAAACAGACAGCAGAAACAACTGGTCAAAGATTTTGGGTATTGGGATTTCAGCATGGAATAAAAAACAAGTCTATTTCTTATGTTTAAACAAATAAAAGGGAAGCTATAAATCATGAGCAGGAACAAGAGATTTTAAAGAATGTACAGTGAGGTTTGAGAAATAACCAAACAGGCCTCCTAAAATTAATACACAATAGATGGATTAAATATTCAATGAGATTCAGCTGAAGAAGGAATTAGTCAACTAGAAGGTAGGACCACATAAATTATTGAGAACGCAGGTCTGAGTGATAAAAAGATGCACATTATAACAGAGAAATTAAAAAGATAGAGTGGATAGAATGAATGAATCTACTATACACCTAAATTTGATTTTCTTCTAGAATAAAATATAGAGAGAACAGGTAACACTCAATGTTAAATGCTGATAATTTTCCAGGAATACTGGAAGCCTAAGAGATTGGGGGTGGGAGAGAGACAGCGACAGAGTGGAGGAGGAAGAGAAATGAAAAGCGGTCAGAGAAAAGCAGACACCCTACCAAGAAACCACAAATAGTCCCATGTTGAACTAGTAGCAAAAAGTAGAAGCCAGAAGACAGTGGAAAAACATCTTCAATGTGGTGAGAAAAAGGTTGTGAACCTACAGTTGAACATTCAGAGAAACTATTTTCCAAGAATGAGGGCGAATAAGGACAGTTTCCCACAAACAGAAACAGACCGACTCTTGCACACCCACGGCGGGGAATGCTGGGGGCACACGGCCCAGGCAGGAGGGGAAGGAGACTGGCCCCTGGTAGGAGATTCGAGATTCAAGAAAGAGTGGTAATGCATGTGCCAGATCTGTAAATAAAATAAGGAAACGTGAATTTTACAAAATAACAACATGCACTTTACAAAATAACAACATGCACTGTGTGTGTGTGTGTGTGTGTGTGTGTGTGTGTGTGTGAGGGGGGGGGCTGGCAAACAGGCTGGAACCACAGTCCCGGATCACAATGGCAGGAAACCCCAGAGGAGGGGTTGTAGGGGCCAAGCCTTCCAGGACCCTTTCAAAGAAGAGAATAAAGGTTATCAGTTAACATTTGACTTTAGTGCATACAAGTTCGTCCACATGTGCAAATAGCCCTGGTGACCATCAGGAAGACAGAGAGGGATACAAGTCTTCCAGACTAGTGGGGGCAGGGAATGAATGAAAAAGCAGAAGAAAGCACATTCATTTTTTTCAAAGGCAGGGAAGTGGGGCAAGGGGCAGAGGAAGACTTACAAAATGGGTCAGATGGGAAGTGAATGACAACAGAGCAGCAAGTCCAAGGGCGTGGTCCATTAGAAGAGGTGCCAATGCACTAAACTTTGGAGTCAACAACCTCGGCTGCAGGTGAGGTGTTTTAGAAAATCAGTCCTGTTTACAGGAGACACAGTTATCAGCCACATGAAGATACAAGTTGATTGAAAGTGAAGGATTGGAAAAAGACAGACTAGCCAAGCAGCACAAGTAGGGTCACTATGTTACTAACAGAAAAAAATTAGTGTTTAGGCAAAATGTTTATAGTAGTTAAAACAGGTCACCTTCTAATGAGAAAAGCGTCAGTGAACTGGGAGGACATAAAAATTCTAAACCTATATGCCCCTAATAATATAGCCTCAAAGCACAGTAAGCCAACATTTGCCAGAACTACACAGAAAATGTTTTTAAACAACCCGCTCTCTGTAGATGCTGGAAAATGCAGCCATAAGGAAATCTGTAATCCACAGAAAATCTGAGGAGTGCTTGGTCTGGTGGACATGCACCAAACATTAAGTCTTCATTTGCACACCCCGAGCCCTGGCTGGTGTGGCTCAGTGCGTTAATTCGCATGCCCCCTTTGTACACACAGAGCACAGTGCGGAAGTGCTACTCAAAACACTGGCCTCAACGAATACCAGAGGGTCAGGCCTCTGCAGGCCACTTTCTCTGACTACGCTGCAACTGAGTTAGAAATCAACAGCAAAAACATAACTAGAAAATATTTGTTCAAAAAAATTCAGAGCCCCTCATGCGCCAGAAAAGGAAAATGGTAGAAATTAGAAAAGGAAGAGAACCGAAAGGCGAAAATACAATACACAGAAACCTGTGGGACTCCACAAAAATGGTATTAACAGGAAGGTGACATACCGGAGACACAAAAATGGCTGAGAATTTCTGAGCTGAGCATTTAAGTAGTTATATAAAAAGGAATAAACCTAAAGAAAGTGGAGGGAAAAGACCGAAGATATAAATGGAAACTAATGAAACAGAAAACAAATCCATGTAATGATCAATAAAACAAGTGCTTCTTTGATAAGCGTCTAAAAGATTTATCAAGAAAGATGAATACAGATGCATCAGAATTTAAATAGATAATAATAAAACATTATGAATAGATCATGATAAAACAGGAACAGAATTTTAATTATTAATAAAACATTATGAACATTTTATGCCAGTAAATTTAAAAACTTAGATGAAATGGATAAATTCCTAGAAAAATATAAATTTATAACACTTGTTCAAGAAGAAATAGAAAACTAGAACATCCTTTATCCCTAAAAGAAAATGAATTAATAGTTTAAAATCTTCTGACAAAGAAAACACAAGGCCCAAGGGTGGGTGAGTGTTACCAAGCTTTCGAACAAAGAGATTATTCTGACATTTTGGGGGAAGAAAAATAGGGCACTTCCTAACTCTGGTGAAAGGCACAACTATAAAATTTTAGGAAACAGTGTACAGTCAAGTCCCCATGACCCAAAGAAAAGAGAAGGATATTTTTAAAAAGACACAAAATGTACTCAGTGATAATGGAGAAAGTCACCAAAGATTCACCTACATTAGAATGGTGAATCACTTTAGAAAATATGTTGACATTACCTTGTAAATTTAAAGATGCGTATATTCTTTGAACCTAAAATTTCACTCTGGTGTCTATTCCCTTAAAACACTTGAGTGCATCAAAAGACATGTATAAGAATGAATGTGTATCAAAACAGTTCAAACCACTAAAGCTAGAAATAACCGAAATGCCCAATTAGAATAACATAAATATATAAAGTAGTGTCATCTCACAGTGGAATACTATGCAGCAGTGAAAAGGAACATACCAGTACCACCTGCACCCACATGGGAGAGTATAAAACGCAGACTGTAGACACAGGAAGCAAATCAAACAAGACTTCAACAGTATGATTCCATTTACTCAAAGCTCAAAACCAGGCAAAACTAAAAAGACATTGGGATGACACAGGTTGTTGTATTTTATTGATACTAAAATATACCTTTCACATTTTAATCTAAAATTGGGATGCATCTCATAATCGGTGGTGTCTGGCAATTACATTGAGTAGCACCCTTCCTTTCTTAGACATGAAATAGTGATGCATCTTACAATTGCTGGGGGCTTAGGTTCAATGAAATATGGTAGGCAGTAAAACTGAAAAAAGCAGCAAAATGGTATACATGAGATCTGGGATCACGGTTCCCTATGTCAGGAAGGGAGGGGGCACCAGAATGGAGGGGACACCTGGGAGAATTCTAAAGTACTGGCAATGTGCTATTTTTCCCATTTTGTGAGCATGTTGTGTTTATTGTTTTTCTTTAAACTGCTTAGACTCTCTCCTGTATGAGTTTCCACAATAAACAAAAGTGTGAAGAGCTGAGGAAGTGGAGACGTGTGTGTAAAAATAGCTCAAGAGACCGGAGGAGGAGAGAGGCAGGGACCTGCAGGAGGCGGCGGCGGACGCCACAGAAATGAAGGGAAGATGGTCCCGAGAGGCTTGAAGGCGTCAGCCCACTGCATGCGGAGGAGTCGGGAGGCTTGCTTCCTCCACGCTGGCAAGAGAGAGAAGGGAAAAGATGGGTTTCTGGAATCTGTGGTGATAGAATGTTGTAGAAGTTTTCCCTGTGATGGTGTCTACTTTCTTCACGAAGGACTTATCTGTGGGGTGGAGGTAGTTATCAGGAATAGCAGAGATGGACGGATGGCCATGAGGGATAGGCATCTAAAATACTAAACACTCATTCAACTAAACAAAGAGCCTCTTACATCCATCACTTATGGCAGAAGAGAATAATATTCCACTTATTCTCTTCATCACGGGGAGGAGGTGCGGATTCTCTCACAAAGCCTGCAGTACTTCCCCAGGGGCACCATAACGAAGTACCACCGACTGTGTGGCTGAAACAACAGAAAACCGTTTTTTCACAGCTCTGGCGCCTGGCAGGCCAAGGTCAAGGTGCCAGCAGGGTTGGTTTCTCCCGAGGCCTCTCTCCTTGGGCTTGGAGACGGCCCTTTGTCTTTGCACACCTGTCCATGACCTCTCTTCCTCTAATTTCAGGGACACCTGTCCTCTTGGATGAGGGCACCCCAACCCCCACAATGGCCTCATCTTGACACAATCACCTCTCTAAAGAGCCTGTCTCCAAAGCAGTCACATTCTGACATATTGGGAGTTGGGGCTTCAACAGAGGAATTTAGAAGGATACAATTCAGCCCATCATAGTGTCCATAAAGAAAGAGAGATTTAGAGTTAGGGAGCTGAACAGCTTGCTCGGAGCAAAAATGCACATACGACCAGGCTGGTTACTGGGACTGAATACCCGGCATGCTACTAAAGAGACTGTAAAGCGGTCTTGCACCTAGAAGATTGTAGATGGATAGAGAAGACCTTTTGGAGAATGAAAACAAATGCGGACATAATAGAAGAATAATATTATCAGGCTTTTCAAAACTATGAGCTGAATACTCCACAGTCCCCAGGATAGGCAACACTTGCTCAGGCTCTTTTTAAATCTGAGCTATAAGCAGAACGACTGTGAATTTTAGCCAAAAATGGCGGGAAAGGTAAACAACTTAGCATCAGTTGGAATCCTCTGACCCTGACTCCCGTTTGTTTTTTGTTTTTTGGAGCCAGGTGAAGTTCCGCGCTGAGGGGGACGACATCTGCTGGGCTGAAAAGGAACTGGGTAGAAGCCGGACTGTTTCCATGTGTGGTCCTCTACTGCCCTCTGCTGGTCAGTGCTAGGAACACGCAGGAATCTCCAGACAGCCCTACTGCAAAAACCACAGATCTGCAGGGAAAGATGGGAAGAATCTACCTCCGTGGGACTGGAGTATGCCCCTCCCACCCCTCTCCAAACACACGCGCACATTGTGAATCGACGGTGCAGTCAGTTTACAGTTTTTGGCATTCTGTGACTGCAGAGCTATTTTGAAAGTTACTTCAGCTCTTTTCATCATGAAAATTTTGAAAACTCACTATTATCCTCCACCTTCTCAAAATATTTCCCAAGATCTAAGAATATGAGAATCTGAATGCAAGTGTTGATGATTTAATAAAACATTGGGCTCCTCATCCGTCCATGTTTTCACAACTTTAAACTCACTATATGCTTGAGGAGAATTTTGTCTTTCGACATTTTAAAACCATGACTTCCTGTGTGGAACAGCCCAGGGACCCCAGTGCTTACAGTGTTTTTGTAAAATTCATGTTTTCATTTTCAAATGTGGCTTTTCTTTCTACAAAATCAGCAGGTCATGCTTTGGGGAGCCTCATGTGGCGTATCTGGGGAGCCTGTTGTACGTGATAAAGGATTCCCGAGTTGAGAGGCGGGAAGCAAATGCCAGGAGAAGCCGCTGATCCCACCCAGCACTCGGCACTCCCACGGCTCCTGGCTGATGACAGGCTGGGTGGCCTTGACCACATCGAAGTTCACGGCGCAGGGCTAGAGAGCCTTCTGCCCCCCGGCCCCCCTCATGGGAGCCCCAGCCCCTCTCTGTGCAGACACGAGGACAGGCACGTATTTAAAATGCAGCTGACAGAATGATACTGGGAGAGGCCAAAGGCCACGCCTTTGATCTTAGAATAAAATGCAAATTCCTAACCAGCTTCCCAAGGCCAAGTGACCTGACTCCTGCGGCCCCTCCAAGTCTGACTTTGGCTCCCTTTCCTTTTCCTCCTGTCATTTGCGTCTTCATCCTTCAAGATCTCTCTGCGGCTCCATTTCAGGACTGTTGATCACTCCAGGGCACCTGCTATAATTTATGCCAACAGCGTTTATGTACCTGCTGTCCATTTCCCGTCTACCCCACAAGGCGTCATCCACCAGGGATGTCCTCTCGTGCTTGGTGGAGTCCCAGTGCCTACAGAGCACGTATTTATTGATGAACAAGGGAGTGAACGTAGTGAGCAGAGGAAGGTGTCGAGGTGAGTGACACCCAAGTCATTCTGTGCAGGTCACAGCAACGAGCTCCTTCATAAACACTCCTCAGTCACAGTGTGCGGAGCCAGGAGAGGCCAGTGGCTGGGATCAGGGGGCAGACAGAGCTGCCCTGACATCTGACCGGCCCCCATCATCTAACCCTCCCTTTCCCTACTGAGGGGACGCCAGCGAAGCAGACGGAGCCCCAAGCCTCGCACCACCGTTCAGGAGACCTGGCAGGAAAGACACATGTGCTAACATATCAGAAGCCATCATTTAATCAGTGGTTAGGTGCTGATCCAGGATGCAAACTCTGGCCACTGAACCAACCAGCAGCACTTGTGTTTGTCCAGTGCCTTCTCCTAGAAAAGGCAGCAGGACGGCCGCACAGCCCTGCCCGCAGGGAGGCACATTAACAGTCCCATTTTACAAATGGAAAAATGACGAACCCGTGGTTGGCGGGCTGGAGGACCACAGCTGGGCCGCAGGCTGATGCCTGGCCTTCCAGGGGTTCTGTCTCCATCCTCCCCGTCAGCACCTGAGCAGGGGAAAATAAACTCAGAAATGTCATTGGTTTGTGGTCTGTGGCTTGGGGAGGCTTGATGAGAGCTGTCCCCGAGAGAGGTAGGTAGTGAGGGCTGAGACAGCTGCTTGGCTCCAGGGAGGCCACGCAGACCCTGACGGTGCAGCTTTTCCCAGTGACACGCTCCTGGGCCAATGTGAATTCCTCTGCCGTAGCAGCCTCTGTCCTGGGCGGGAACCTGGCATCTGACCGGAACAAGGCAGAGGTGAGCCAGACAGAATGTCCAAGAGCCTCCAGGCTGGTGCAGCCTCAGGGCAGGCTGATCTGGGGGTCCTTGAGGAAGAAGGCCAGTTTCTGGGCCACGGCGTCCAGTTCCGCCGCATTGGCGTGCTGCAGGAGGTTGCAGCTCCGCACGAAGAAGTGCTTCAGAAAGTGCTGGCTCACACAGCGGTGCAGCTTCCTCACCAGGCGCAGCAGCCCTTTGCTGAAGACCTGCCAGTCCTTCGAGTGGGGATACTTCTCACAAGTCCAAAAGAGCACTGTCTGCAGGAGCAAGAGCAGGGTCAGACATCTAGGAGGCGACTGGAGACAGCATCCTCAGGAGCACTGAGCTCACGTGACCTTGGAAGGGGGCAGGAAAGGGTCACCCAGGGCAAGCTGCTCTGCTGAAGGCCCAGTGAGCTGCATGTTGCTAAACCCAATAGCCTTGTCCAGCCCCGGCTTCACCTGGCCTTTCAGCAAGCTCCGATTCTCTCCTCCACACCCTCTCTCTGGAGTTAAGCTGCACTTGGCTTCCAAGCCAACAGGCTCTCTGGGTTGCTCCAGCACTACAGCTACTCCCCGGCAGGCTTCACCTCCTCCGTAACCTGCCTATGAATGTTGGCGTTTCTCAGCCCCAGGCCCTCTCACACTATCTTCCTTCCACAACAGTGGCTTTAACTCCCATGAAATACAGTCACTCCCAGTTCTCTTTCACCAGCCCAGGCTTCTCCACTGACTTTTCCTGGTATTTCTTGAACACCCGAAAGTCCTCTGCCAGCATGTCCAAACCGAACTCACAGCCTCCCCCTGCACTGGGTCAGCCTCCAGCGTGGCTTATCCAGCAGTTAGACAAACTCGGGCATCATCCCCTCCCTTGCCAACCCCAACCAACCCTGCCAATCCTCCTGCGCAAGTATTGGGTCGGCCAAAAAGCTTGTTTAGTCTTTTCCATACAATGGGTCTGGTAGTGCTTACTTGGCTTAACTTCATTCGAAACAATTTTGTTAGATTGTATTGCAACAGCTGTCATATCAGTGAGCATTCAAAATAGGTGAATTTTTGTGCAGCCATTTTAATATTAAAGCTGGAAGAAGATACACAACATTTTCGGTGTATTATGCTTTGTTATTTCAAGAAAGGTAAAAATGCAACTGAAATGAAAAAAAAAGAGATGTGTGCAGTGTATGGAGAAGGTGCTATGACTGATCCAATGTGTCAGAAGTGGTTTGCAAAGTTTCTTGGTCCTGTTGACATTTTGGCCAAATAGTTCTCTGCTGTGGGGCTGTCTCATGCACTGGGAGGCGTTTAGCAGCACCTCTGGCTGCCACTCACTAAGAGCCAATAGCGGGAGGTAGTCTACATACTCAAAATATCCACATAAATAAAGTTACTGGTGAAAATGAAAAATGTGCCCTTTATTTTACAGAAGAAACTGAATGGACTTTTTGGCCAGCCCGGTAGTGATGAAAACGACCGATATCACCATCGGCTCCGGGCTCCTACCGCACCCCACCGCACCCCACCGCCACACCGCACTGCGCCGCCCTCTGCCACAGCTGTGTAAGCAGTCTGCACCTGTTTTCATCACATTCTGTCACTATCCCCATGGAAGACAACGTGATGTTTTGGAAATACAAATCTAAGTTTCTGCTTCTCTAAAGTACCTCCAAGTCTTCCTATTGTGTGTTAAGTAGACACACAAACCTCAGCAGTGTGGTTTGCCAGGTTCCCTCCCACCCTTCCTCTCCAGCCCCACCTGGCCCTGCGTGCTCGCTGGCTCCCCCTGCTGGCCACCAGGCCTCATGTCACGCCCTCTCCCGTCTCAGGGCCTCTCACAGCCCACTGCTGCGCAAACGGACTTGCTTCTCTACATCCAGGAAACTCATTCCTCAGGTCCTAGATGCCTTGACACCCAGTAGACATCCTCTTAGCCATTTGTTTCTCACGGGCGGCAGTGAGCCCAGGAGCAGCCGATTTCACATTTATTATGCATCACAAACTGACTGTCAGCTCCGTGAGAGCTGGGGACAGGCCTGTTCTCATTCGCTCCTCCGTTGGTCACCGACACTCAGCTGGGCGACTGGCCCCCACACCTGCAGGCACTCAGCACACATTTACTGACAAAGTAAAATAATGAACTAACCAGGGTGTCCAACCTGCAGCCAGCAGGCTGCACACAGCCCAGGGTGGCTATGAACGCAGCCCAACACAAAACTGTAAATTTACTTAAAACACGATGAGATTTTTTGGCGATTACATGTCATAATGTATTTAACGTGTGGCCCAAGACAACTCTTCTTCGGTGTGGCCCAGAGATGCCCAAAGGTTGGACATCCCTGGTCAATATTTAGCAGGTTTAAAATACGGTCTTTACTAAAAAGGAAAAGAACATTTTCCAGCTCACACCAAGAAAGTGAGTATGTTTTTATATTAAATCGTTTGGAGCAGATGAGTTGGAGACCATTTCATTCTAGTCAGGATAACCTACATACAAAAATGAAATGTATTAATTCTGCTCTTGTAGAATTAATGCTCTGTAATGTGCACTTTTTTGTCCAAATTTTTTAAGGAAAAATAAGGATGTGCATTATACATGGGTAGTCCCTGAAATACCTTGTATTTGTTCTTGTGTTTTGTAATAGTTTGTTACATAAAATTTCTTATACCTTACTATGTTCAAGAACAATAAAAATTCCTTTATAATAAAAAAAAATAAGTATCTAAATATGAATAAATAAAAAATTGAATTAAAAATGAAAACAAAAGATTTGCTTTGAAAGACACCGGTCATCTCTTGTTCTGAGTGAAACAGCTTTGCGGAGCCTTTTTGGGGAGGAGGTGAGGACCCTACAAAACAGTGTCGGACTCAAGGTGAGGTAACCATGATGGGCTGTTCTGCAACCCAAACTCTCCCACCTTTTCCAGAAGAAAGCCTTGGCCAAGACCCTGCACACTCAAGCCGTCATCAGGGATGACACCACACTGTCACTAGCCACGTCCATCCTGTCGGCCAAACGTGAGAGGACCCTGCCCTCTGACCAAGCGTGAAAGACCAGAGGAGAAGGCCGTTCTGTTTCTGCTTGTCCCACCCTCCTCAACACATAGCCCCTTTTAACTGCCCAGTCTTGAGAACGCACAATTTTACTGGGCTGTGCACTTGGCTTAGGGAGGACTGGAGCAGAGAACCTTTACGGAGTTGCCCTAAAACTCTCAAGATGATTTAGACACAGCTGGCAGGAAAGGGGTCCTCGGGTGAAATGCAGTTTTGAGAGCAGCTGAGGGCTGGCGGCCCATGGCAGCCCATGGCGGCCTTATTCAATCTCGACTAAAGTATCCATCCTGACTGTGAGGCAGTGACATGGATAGTCAGGATGATGAGGTTTTGCTATGAAACACAGTGGAGTTTCCTTCTCAGCTCGAAGTCTTCCTCGTGTAGAAAGACAAGCAAGAAAGAAGTGAACTTCATCAAACAAATTGGACAACCTTCGGAAAGCACTTGCCCTTGACCCAGGACAGGCATGTGTTTTTAGGGACACATAGAAACTTCAGAGAAAGGTCTCAGTATGCAAATAAGATGCTACCAGATTCTCGAGCAGACAGATGATCAGAAAAGATTAAAAAAAAAGCAAAGACTAGTGGTTTTATGAGGGGGTAAACAAAGTTGATAAAATGTGCAGTTATTCATTCATTTGACAACAAATATTTACTAAGCGCCTATAAGATCCAAGCACTGAGAGAGGTAGTAGGGGTGCAGTGAGGATAAGACCAACAGGGTATTTGCCCTTAAAAAGACTGCATGAGAGTTGAGAGTAACACAGAGCTGGAAAACGTTGCCCACTTAGTGAGAGGAGGCCCGGGTAGGAGGAGCGTGCAAGGAAGGCACCACCCAGGTGACCAGCCCAGGGACCTGTGCTCACCTGCGCAGGGGGTCAGGGAGAAGCTCCCGACAGATGCTGGCTAAGACTGGGGCCACGCTGTCTGTAGGAGTCCAACCCCTGTCACCTACTGCGCTGCAGGTGGCGTCCAGAAGCGCCCAGTCCGCCATGCGTCAGATGTTTGTGAAGGAGGAGCTGAGAGTTCGATAAAGGGCCTCTCCAAGACCAGGGCCCTGGGTGCCGGGCCTGGGTTGGGTTCTGCTGCCCTGAACTCTCACGGAGCAACACCCTTCTTCTCCCTCGTGCTCCCTGCACCACGTGACTCCACAAGCACCTGCAAAACGGTGTGCTCGCCGTCTGTCTCCCCTGCGGGACCACGAGCTCCGCGAGAGCAGGACCCGTGTCTGTTTGCTCCCCACGTACCTCCCGGTACAGAGCGCACAGCAGGTGCGGGGGCGGGTGTCAGGCTCACAACGTGTAACCTCAACAAGCGTTTGCTGAGTGACTGAGCGAGCGCGTTCGTGAATGGGCAGGGCTGGGTTTGCGGCCCAAGGAGGCCCGTGCTGGCCGAGTGAGGGCTGATCCGGGCCGGGCGCTGGAACCCAGAAGTTCGGGTCTACCGCGACGCTCCCGGTTTCCTCCTCCCTGCGGAGCGTGCATGAGCGGCTGCACTTGGACTCGAGTGGGGACCGAGTCCTGACCCGAGGAAAACCACGAGTTTGAGGTTTAGGCAACTCGCAAGATTCCACCAGACTGTAGCTTTCTCAAGCGCAGAGGCCACCTGCTGAATTCATTTCTAAATTTCTGGCACACGGTGGGCACTGGTGTCGGCTCGTCGAGTGAAAATAAAAGGAGAGGAGAGAAAGAGACAGAAAAAAGAAAAGGGAGAGAAGGGACTGGGAAGGGAGACAGGTGCGCAAAGTTTGCCCTGCTGGCCTAGGGCGTTGCGGGCCACGTGCAGCCGGGTTATCTCACTCCGTGAAGAGCAGTAAATACTTGGCGGGAGGCGAACGCCCACTCCCGAGCTCACCACGAGCACCCCCAGCCCCTTCCCAGTGGCTGCGGCCAGGACCTGCGGACGAGCAGCGGCCCGCCGCCCGGAGCTCACCTGCAGGTGGTGGGACGTGAGCACAGGCCTGCTCCCCGGACACCAGACGTCCTCCTTCACCTGCCGCAGCGCCCGCAGACACTGCCGGCGGCAGCCCCCGTCCTCGTCCAGCTGCTCCAGCAGCACCCGCTCGGCCTGCGGGAAGCTCAGCTGCCAGTGATAGTGCGAACGCGCCAACAGGGTGAATCCGAAGGACTGGAAGGGAAAACGGCGGCCCTTGAGACGGACGGCACTCACCGCGTGGATGCCGACTCGGACGCGGCCAGGCCGGTCCCGGGGACCCTCGGGCAGGCAGCGCCCCCTGCGTGGCACGCGGGGGAGGAGCCTCAGGACAAGCCCCCTTGCACGTGGGCAGCAAACAAGCCACCTGGAGGGCTCATTAAAGCCAGACGGCCGTGCTCTGCCCACGGCGCCTCCCTCCGCAGGTTCAGAGCCGGACCCCGGGGGGGGGGGGGGGTGGCGGGTTGCACGTCTACCAGGGCCCCGGCTGATTTTTGTTCCTGAACCCGCGGCTAAGCCCTGAGGACGGCGCTCTGGGGCGCGGGGCCCTGCCCGCCGGTACCTTGATGCACTGCACTCTTTCTGGGGAGGGCCAGCGCGTCAGACACGGGGGCCACCGGGCTTTCTTGGACCAGGAGGTGGGGATCTCCACCGCGGGGGCCAGCTCGATCTCCACCGGACCTCCGGATGTTTCCATGGCAACCCGAACTGCAGCGCTGTTTGTTAGCATGCTGACCTTTCCTGGTGGGAAATGGCGAACAGGCTCAGAAAAAGCATTCAAAGAGGGACTTTGGGGACAGCAACTCTGAGCGGCGCTTGTAGTGGAGGGGCGAGTTCGTAGTGTTAACAGCACTGGGGGGCGGGGCGGAGATGGTGTTTATATCAAGACTGGACAAGTAGCCCAATAAATACTGATAGCAGCATTGCTAGAAAAATCTCATGGTTTCTGGGCTTTTCTTTTTTTTCTCCTCCCTCCCCCCAAGGTTGTTATGGTACCTTTTCTTTTAAATTAATAGATTCTTTTCAGAAGGCTCAACTGGAAGAAAGAGATGCTGCATACCAACAAAAGGCAGAGTATTTGCTATTGCAAAACAAAACCCAATCGTTCATACACCCCCCTCCTGTCACCCTTGTTTAGCGTGGCTGCAGTCCCTGTACTGAGTCCTCGGCCTTTGGTGGCATTCGGTGGAACCCATCTCTTATCTGAGTCACAAGTGCTCAGGTGGTGTTTGTTCCTGCCGCCCATTAAGCCTGCCTCACCTCAGATGCATTTCTCATCACAAAACACTTCTCAGTGTGGCACTGGCTTAAGGAGTCCAGGGAGCAGAAAGAAGCCCTCACACTCTTTCCCAACCAGGCAAAGACACAGAGAGAAAAGCAACACGTTTGGTAAGGCTTTCCTGATCATAAACTAGAACCTGCTTCTAATTTGTTCCCCCTTCTTTCAAAAGACAGTCTTTTTGTTTGTTTGTCCGCCTTCATCACAGATGAGGTTGAGCCCTCTTGGGTGGGGATCTGCTTTCCCTCGCTTGGAGAAGAGAACAGACGCCGTCGCATTCATTGTGCTCGGCTGTTCAAAAGCAGAACACTCTTCTCTCCTCGGGGTGGGGGGTGGGAGAGAGAGAGTGCTGTCTGCCCCTCATCAGAGCCCCCGGGGCAGGCCCAGTTGGACTCTCTTGCTCACTTTCACGGCTGACAGTGTCCCAAAGCGACACAGCAGCAGCTGCCTGGCCCACACCCTGCTCCCGGGGCTCACTCCGCTCACTTCCTGTGTGACCTTCAGCATGTTACTTAATTTCTCTAAATCTCACTTTTTCATTTGTAAATGAAAAGTAATTCCTACTCTATAGGGGCGCAGTGAGTATTAAATTAGATAACCCACGGAAGCACCTGTCCAAGGTAACGATCCATTAAACATGAGCCAGCTCCATTATGGCACCTTGCAGATTGTTCTGGCTACGCAGGGAATGTACAGTGAAATCCATTTCTCTCTGCACAGATGCAATCACACCTTGCTTGGCAGTTCGGTTTCCCGCTTACTTATCTAGCACGAGCATTTTCCATAACCCAGTTCTTTCTAAAGGCTGCATAGTCATCCACTAAGCGGATGCCACACGGTTTCCTGAGTCAGATTCCTCTGTCTCCACTTCGACCCTTTCTAGCTACTGGCTGTCACAGAGCCCACAGCAGTGAGTGTCCTTGTGCGTATGTCTTCGTGTATCTAGTTCTAGAACTGGAATCACTGAACTGCCAAGTCATCGCATTATAAAAATAAAGGCGGACACACTGCCCTTTAAAAAGGAGGCACCAACATACACTTCCCAGAAAATGTGCTTCTCCACACCTGCCCCTACACTGAACGCGATCGGATGTGTTCACGTCTGCCAATCTGTTAGGTGTTTGAGGCACATTTCTCAAAACACACGTTAGATGGGACATTTTTTCTTATTTTTACTAGCCCTTTATATTCTTTTTTGGTGAGTCATGGCTTTTTGGGGCCGTTATTTTTATTGGTCTGCTTATATGTTTTTTCTTACTCGTCTGTAAGTGCTCTTGCCCAGTTGAGAGAATCAGCCATTGTTTCCAGTTGGAAGTTTGCCTTTTTACTCTGGGTGAACAAAATGCGTGTGCGCATGTGTGTGCATGAGCCACACTGTACTGTGACTTAAGAACTTGGGGGTGTTGAACTCAGTTCTCCGTGGCTTCTGGGGTTTGTGTTTTGGTAAAAGTCAGCGTTTTCCATGTGTGCTGTCTCAACCCGCCAGGGTACTGTGGTCAGTTGCCGAGTATTGTGGCAGAAACGTGCTTAATCGAAAAGATCAGAGGTTTGTGAAGACCGTGCTTTTTAAAAAGCGCCCAAGTTTTTTAAGCTGACATCCTGGAAAGGCTGCAAGGCCCAAAGCCCATCCTATCCACGCCAGGGCAAGGCCCGCTGAAATCCACAGCAGTGTGTCAGCGTGGTGTGACTTCCGGTCTTCCGTGCGTGACGGCAGAAAGAGGGCTGATTCGTATCCCGGGGATCGGGCAGGTGCAAAGAGCACACGATTGTGGTCTCCATTTAGGGGCCTGAGCTTCAGGTGACACCCCAGCAGAGGTTTGGTCAAGCAAAATGAAAGTGCCTGAAATCTCCCTTGTACTTTTCTTGGTCTGCTCACCTGACAGGTGACAGGCTTCAATGGCGTCTTCTACCAGCGTCCGGAACACCTGGAGGACCTTGGCGGGCACAAGGTCCCCCTCGATGTTCACATCTGCCTCGTGCCACAGCCACAGGCTCCTGGGAAACTGCTGCACCTCCAGCCACTGCTGCAGGCCCTCGGGGTTCTGCAGGGGGCAGGGCAGCCTGGTGCCCTGCAGGGTGTAGTACCGCCAGCGCTGCTCCCGGGCCTCCCTGTATCCGGCCAGGCCTCTCACCGGGACTGTGACCAGGAACTGGCTGGGGGCCAAAACCTGGGGTCAGAAAAGGAAAGGGGGAGGTAAGAGAAGTGCTCTAGTACTCAGTTAACCACTCGACCCTCAGTGACGTGACCAGGTGGAAAGGGAATGCACCCGCCCTTTGCGAGAGGGTCCACCTTTGTCCTCCCACTCACCCACTGTACTGCTTCGAACCAGTAACCAACTCACTGCGTTCTTGGTTTCATGAATCTGCAAGGGGAAGGAGCGAACCAGACCTGGAACTTTACAGGGCACCTCATGTTTACGGGGAGAAGTTTTCTCCCAGGAGGAAATTTGCCGGGATATCATTCTAGGAAAAGCGACGTTATGTTTGTGTTCCTAGCCCCTGGTCTACTTTTGTCTAATTTAGGTGATGTTCTGACATTCCAGGATCCGATCTATTTTACAGTTTTCATCCCGAGGTGAGCTTCCTACGATTAAACACTCTCAAAACGCGCAAATCCCAGAATCTGATGGGTGGTTGCTATGCCCGCCAATCTTGACATGGACTGGACTGGCGATGCTCTTTTATTCGTGCACTCATTTTTTTTGCTCATGCATTCATTCAACAGGAGTTGAGTGTCTACCACCCGCCCTGCAGGAGGCGAGGAATGGAGCAATCAATAAACATGACCCTGACACATGAGGGGCCGAGTCTGGTGTGAGAAAAGGGGCGTGTGCACATGTAAAGGTGACACCAGTGAAAGGCGTCCTTCTGTGTCATGAGAAGAATCGAGACGAAGGAGCCCGGGGATCCAGTACGATTCCGAGTCTCACTTCTCTCGTCTCAGAAAGGGAAAAGACCCAACGTCTGTCCCACAAGACTGTTTGCGGGTTTGAGTGAGACCACTTCCATGAGAACAGCATGGCCCGCCCCACAGTGTGGCGTGAATGCTGGTCGTTGTGTGCTGGCCCTGGTGGCTTATAGCTTGGCGGGGCTCCTCAGCAGGGGCAGGGGGAACAGCCTGCTCCTGTCATTTCTCGAGGCTGCTTCTTCCACTTTCTTCCTTCCCCAACCTGCATTCCACAGACTATCACTTTCAACTATTCCCCAAAATGCCTCAAGTCCCCTCTGCCCAATGCCCAACCTATGAATCAGTTGCTTAATAAATGAACAGGTGCTTCACTAAATGTTAATCATTAATGTTAATCATTCACTAAGGGCTAATCATTACCCTTTGGGGTCAAGAGCCCTGTACAAGTTCTGGTTTCAGTGCCTACTATGCCTGATCAGGTCATTTGACTTCCCTTAGTCTCAGTTCTTATTATCGATAGGAAAGCAGGAGTGTGAGAGCTCAAATAAGTTTGTGAATGGCAAGTACTATGATTACCTATGGGAACAGGAAGTGTGATCAGCACTCTTCCCAGTGTGAGTGCCTGCCACTTACTGAGCCCCAGCCACCCCGGTTTCTGGGCTGTCTGGATGGGCCCCCAGAGACAAGTGGGACCCGCTCACCTTAATGTTCCCATTGTACACCAAGGAGTAAGGGATGGCTTGGAATCGGATGTCTTTGTTGCTGATTTTGGTGGTCAGATGGTAGATGACTTTCTGTACCTCCTCCACAGTCTGGGAGACCCACTGGCGCCTCAAGTTTACCTGGGGGGGCAGGGAGCAGCACAGGGGTTACCTCCAATCTGGCCACCAGACACTGGCATGAAGAATTGATGGAGAGGACACATCTCCACCTCAGAAGCTCCCGCCTTCCCCAGAACTCCAGGAGGGGTGCCTTCCCCAGAACTCCAGGAGGGGTGCCTTCCCCAGAACTCCAGGAGGGGTGCATTTAGGTCTGATGGTGCTTCTCCTCAGAGCTCGCTTCTAAAATAGAAGCGTCCATCCCGTATTCATCTAGCACCTGCCATGTGTGCCCCTCCAGGTGCCAGGGCACAACTAAGAACAAGACAACCGAGAACAGGATGGAGAGACTTGCCCTCTAGTTGAACATACAGGCCATAGGTATGGGTACATATACATACACACACATACATGTATATGTACATACAGGGTGGGGCAAAAGGAGGTTGCAAGTTGTTTGTATGGGAAAATAACACAATACTTAATAAATAATAATACAAGAGTGAACCCTGTTTTGCACACTCACAACTGTAAATCTCCTTTTGCCTCGTGCTGTATATGCGTACACACAGAGCATGTGTGCAGAATGTGCTACTGGTATGGTACATCCCACAAAGAAAAATAAAAGAGGGTAAGGGGTTAGGGAGTAAAGCGGATGCTATTTTGGGATTGGGGGCCAGGGAAGTCATCTCTGAGGAGGTGGCATTTGAGCGAGCCCCGACCACAGCTGGGGACAGTCTATCCCAAGGCCCCCATAGCAGGGACATGCCTGGGGAAGCTCCAGAGCCAGCACGGGTGCCCCTGGGGCTGGAGCCTGGGAAGAAAGGCCGTCGCAGGGGTGGGTGCTCAGTCTGGCATCTTGCAGGGTTTGGGGGACTGGGGTGAGAATAGTGTGAAGGATGCCTGCTGGTTGGGACGATGAATGTAAACCAGTTTAGTATGCATGGATATTAAATGGTTTGCAGGGGTATCAAACTCACTTTCACATCAGCCCCACAGTTGCCTTCAAAGGCCGAATGTAATTTTAGGACTGTATACATGTATCTACTCCTTAACTAGGGGCAAGGAGCTCGGTGCTGCTGCCCGGTAGAAACAAGGTGCCGGGCCGGATAGAACAAGGTGGAGGGCGGGATTCGGCCCGAGGACCTTGTGTTCGCCACCTGTGGTTCAAAGTGAGTAAACCTGCAGTGAGCACTTCCTGCCCCTGTCAGCCCGTGTCTGCAAACGGTGGCCCCTTCCCCAGGGACGCAGCCCTCCTGCACCTGCAGGAGAGGACATACAAACGTCTCTTCTGACTCTGCCCAGCCGGTCTCCAAAAACTGGAAAATACCCACAGAAAACTGAACCCCAGAAAATAGATACCTTAAGGGATCCTTAAGGTTTAGGGAAACACAAGGGGACTTTTAGTAAACTCCCAGAGAGACAGAAAAGTCCAGGTGATTTGGGGGCGGGAAGAGTCGGTAGGTTTTTCGGAACTAGAGGACCCCCTTTGTTACGTTGCCCACCAGGCACCTGCAGGCTGGGACCAGCGGGGTGGTCTCCCTTACAGATGCCCCGGAGCCCAGCCAGGCACTGACAGGAAGCACCTTCAGCGGCGTCCAACCTGCAGCCTGTGAGCCTGAGCCGCATGCAGCCCAGCATGGCTGTGAACTGGGCCCAACACAAAACCGTCAATTTACTTACAACATGATGAGATCTTTTTTGTGACTACATGTTGCAGGGTATCTAACATGTGGCCTAAGACAACTCTTCTTCTTCCAGTGTGACCCAGAGATGCCAAAAGGTTGGACACCCCGATAAATAATCCAAATGTAATGCCCATCCGTGCATCTTTGTATTTCTTCTGAGTTTTGTGTAATGGCTGTTTCTATAGATTCTAGAGTAGTTTTTAGATGCTCATAAACCAGTCAAGAAAAAAAGCCCAAGTCTATGACATTTCTGGTTTTTTATACTTGGTCATCAATTTGTGCAGTCATCCAAGACCTCATACCTCCCACCAGCCGACAAGCTGACCACATATGGACACAGAACACAACGGTGCCTGTGTGTTCATTTGCACACACAATGTATATCACATATAGATTCAGTGCATCAATAAATATTTACCTAGCTATGCGCCAGGCACTGTTACATGCTAGGGCACAGCAGCAATAACAGACATGGCCATGAACTTAAAGCAGTGGGGAAGACAGATGTAAGCACAAAACGCAAGGGAAGGGGGAGGTGCTGTCAGTACAGTGAGGCAGCTTGAAACCTGTTGGATATGCACATGTAAAGGTGGACACAGAAGACAGGCTTTGAAAAACTAATTACGGATATACTCCAGATTCCCAGGAGTAACCAGAAACATAGGACGAGGTCTCTGACCTTCGCAAGCTTACAACCTTATTGGAAACATATGATAGACATCAAGTTGTCTTTTCATCTTGCCTGACCTTAAATAACATGAGCACATCGCTACTAGCTTTTCACAACTTCTCTTTGCCACCAGCAGCCGCCTTCCCCCTGCCCCCAACCAAATGTTCCCCCCACTGTGCTCATTGCAGGAAAGGGGACCAAAGCTACCTTTCATGAACAATTGTAAACTACCAAGACTCTGAATCTGCCTGAATGGCAAGCAGAAGAGAGCAGATGGTCACAGAGGTAAGGCCATTTGCCAAAGGTCAAGGAAGACGCCCTCAGAGCCTGTGGTGAAGGGCCCTGGCCAGTGCAGGGCTGCTGTGAGCTGTGACCCCGCTCCACGGGGCCGGTTTTGTCGACTACCACCTCGCGCCAGGGTCTGCGCATACATGTTATAAAGAGGTTTGCAGATGAGATGGGGGGGAGACAAAATGCAAACTGAAACTTTAGCCAGCTAGTGCTAAGGTAAATGTTTGCGCTCTGGGCACTCTGGGCACACAGACAAGGGACGCTTCCCTGGTTTGGAGACTGGCAGGCCCTTCCTGGAGGCATTGTGTACTGGAGTTGCTGGAGTGGCATCTGGAAAGATTAGTAGGAGTGAGCTAGAAAGAGAAAGGCAGGGAGGTGCGTATGGCAGAGAGTATGGCAGGTGCCTGGCGGGAACAGCACAGTGGGGAGTTGTCATCATTTCCTGCACCCTTGGGGCAGGGATCGCCTGGCAGGAGGATGGCGAGGTGGGAGAACACACAGCGAGAGAGCCTGAAGATCAAGAAAGAATTTCCAGAACAAAGTCAACAGTAAGTGGCTAAGATAAGGCCTGAACAGTGTCTGTAGGGTGTAGAGCTGGGACCGGAGGGCAGAGTCCAGGAACTTGCTGGACATTTGTCACATTGCGGTGGCACAAGGTAGCGGAAGACGAGTAAGTGAAGACAGGTGAGCAGCTCCTCCAGGAAGTTGTCTCGGGAAGGAAAAACAAACAAGGACACCAACAGGTTTTTTTCAGAATGGCATACAGGTTGGAACACGTCAAAGGCTGACAGGAAAGAGCCCCCGGAGAAGGAAGAGGCCACTGGGGGCAAAGCCAGTGAGTAAGGATTTTCCAGCCAGGAACTGCCGTGCAGAAGCAGAAACCTGGGGAGGAAGTGGCCTTGGGGAGTCAGGAGGAAAGAGTGGCGGGTGCAAATACAGACAAAAGGGTGGGGGATGGTAGGAATCAGAGATTTCCTGCCGGCTATTTTCTTGTTAGACCAGGAGACTAGGCAATGGGCTGAGAGTGAGGGGGAGACATGGAGAGCAGGGGACTTCGGGGTGGCAGGCTTTGGAAATGGCTTCTCTCAGGAATGAGGGGCCGCCTGGACACATATATAAGATTGCCAGGCTGTGCCCAAGACAGATGTGGGCAGGTCCACAAGCCGGGAGAGACCGGTGGGCTCAGCTATAAGGTGTTCTCCAGCACCAGTGGTAACAGCCGAGGTGCTAAGATTCGAGTTTGCTGGGCAAGATCTGGAGAGCAAGGGGGGTTTCAGTGGTGGGTCATGTTTTCCCACCGCCTGGAAAGGACAGGGAAGGACAGAGCTGGCTAGTACATTAGGGGGCATCAGATAAGTTCAGGGATCAGGAGTCTGACCAGGAGTAGCAGGGGAAGTAACTCAAGGGCCGACGAGACAGAACACTGCAGGCACAGTGCTTGGGAAACAGTATTCTCAAAGACTACAGGATCTGAGAATCTGAGCACTGAGGCTAATCTAACCCTTCCACTGCACCGACTGACCATGGATGAGTTGTGCTACACTTGTGAACGGGCAGATTCAGTTACCCTGGTTAAGCAGAACTGATGCAAAAGCAGCCAGGAGAGGTGCCCATTCATTACGACCTCCCTCTCTCCAGTGCGCGTCCACTCGCGCGCACGCAGGTACACGTCCCACCCTGGGCTGCTTCCCCTCCCCCCGAATCACACTGTCATTCGCTCTATGACTAGCTCAAGTTTGTGGACAGTTTTTTTCTGTTTCGAATGTAAATTATTGAGACATCAAGGTCGTTCCCTATCATAACAGTCTGACTCATTTGCATTCCGACCCGCTTCCTGGAGTGCAAAAGAGGGAAACAGCACCGAGCAGCGTGCTGGGAATGAAGTGTCTCAAGGGCTCGGTCACAGCCCTGAGTGTGCAGCCAGTGCAAGTGTCATCCGTGATGAATGCCACTGCAGGGAACGGCGGACAGCTTCTTTCCCGACAACGGGAAGTCTTTTAATTCTGAAATCGCATCAAGTCCGATAATCAGTGTACAAAAGGACAGACGCCGTCTCTGTCTTCCAGGGGTTACTAATGGGAAGGGGTGGAGACGTAAATTTAGCGATACATAGGCCAAGACAGGTTTTCCACCCTCACGCCCCCATCTTTTCAGACTAATTCTTCCGTGAACCAGGTGCTTGGGCCCCATGGGATATTTGCAGCTCCCACACACAGCAGAAGCCTTGGCCACAGGGGCACGAAGGTGCTCAGCCTCGGGAAGCTTGTGATGTGCAGGATACTTTCTAAGGCTTAGCTCCTTGGAGCCTCCCAGGGATCTTTTAAGACGGATACTATGATTGCCCCCATTGTACAGATGAGGACACTGACGTTCAGAAAGTGTAAGTAACTTGCCCAGGGTCCCAGAGTCAGGAAGTCACAGGACAGGGTTCCACGCGTGGGCTGTGTCATTCTGAAGCCCATGTCAGAAACACTGCACACGGCCTCCCCAAGGACAAGGTGACTGGGAGAGAAACCCATGCCCACCACGTGAATGGGCTTCCGTGGCCTGGCGGCCTCCGCTGTGATCCTCCGCTCACTCGAGTCCTACTACGCATGCGCGGAGGCTTCGCCTCCGCTCTGAAGCGCTTCTCCCCATCAGAGCTACCCCTCCGCCTCCAGAGGCCCATTTGAATCCCACTGCAGCCCTGTGGTCAGCCATGTGTAGCATTAAACATTTGTCCATCTGCACAATTATCCCTTTTGCCTCTAGAGTTACATTATCCCTTTTGCCTCCGGAGTTACGGGCGAAAGCCGCGGGGCCACCCTTGGAGACGACCAGAGCACAGAATCTCTGTCCCACATCCCGGACTTGGGTTCTGGGCAGCGTGTTTTTCCCAGAGCCGGGGCTCAGTGCGTCCTTATGGAGATTTGTGTAGACGGGTATGTAGGCAGGAGGCATATGGCTTTGGGGTAAAGAACACTACGCTGAAACCTAGTTGTGTGACTTAGGGCAAGTTATTTAAACCACATGAGCTTCTGTTCCCTCCTCTGCATGGGTCACATGTTGTCATTAGATTAAATGAGATACTGGGTGGGCTGCCAGCTGCCAGCACCTCTTACACTACTGCAGTATCTTCAGTAAACCCTGAAGATCTTCTGACCACGAATGTGCAAAGATACTGCGTGACTATCAAGGGGAATAAATATATCCAAGACTCTATTGTTCCCTCCAGAAACTTAGAGACAATAAAACAATGCAATCTTTGCAATGACGATTGTCCAGTAAATATTACCAGTAGTAATTATGAGGAGACCTCACCGGAAGGCAAAAAATGTTTTGCGCTAAGGAAAACGTTATGTGTCTGGGAAATGTTTTTGAGAAAGAGGACTCTGAGCTCAATTTGAAGGGTGGCTATGAGGCGGAAAAGTAGGAGAGGAGAGGCTGTACCCCCTCGGGCCTGCGTACTTCTCAAAACACAGTTTTGAGGGGCAGGAGTGGCAGACAAAACCAGCTCCAGAGGTTATGTTGGGAGGGGTTGGGGACACAGATGGGGGATGGGAAGGGGCGGGTGTCGGGCTCGGTGAGCTGCAGCCCCGAGGGCCAGTGAACTTCAGGTCCTGTGGGTCACACAGCTTCAGCCCACAGTTGCCAGGCAAGAAACTGGGACCTGTGGTCACCAGATATCTTGATTCCCCCCCCCCCACCAAGAGAAGATGAAAATCTGGGTTTCTACTCAAAAATCTCTATTTTAAAATACAGGGTGGGCAAAAGTAGATTTACAGTTGTTCATATGGAAAATACCACAATAAGTAATAGATAATACTACAAGAATAAACTGTTTCACATACTCACAATTGTAAACCTACTTTTGCCCACCCTGTATTTGCAACAAATTTGAAAAAGTTTTGAAATACGCTAATAGGCTAAAGAAAGTGCATACACAGGCTGGACTCAGGGTACAGAGAGATGTTTGAAAGTCCCGCTGGAGATGGAGGGAGCCAGAGAGTAGAAAGATAAAAGCATTACTTGAAGGCCCAGCTAAAAACATTTGGGCTTTTTCTTTCAGAAAACACAGGATGATGAGGAAACGTCAGCCAACACTCCTTCCATCTAACAGCCCCCAGAAGGGAAAATAGTGGGAAATAATTCTGTTTGCTATAACTTTTACCATTGTAAGTTTTCCTTATTTATCTTTTAGTAGTTTTGCCTAGGAAACCAACTTGTTACTATGACAATGAAGTCTGAATCAAGATTGGTGGGGTGAGGGGGTGAGGAAAGGTGAGGAGGGGTTAGGAGGGTAGGAACGGGTGAGGGGTGTGAGGAGGGGTCAGGGAGGGTGTGGGAGACCAGTATCCATCCTCACCTTATCCAGCAGGCACTCTTCCAAGTTGTCCGCAGTCAGAGATCTCATTGCTTCTCTCTGGGTCTGGAGCGGAGCTGCGACGTCCGGGCTTGCTTCCCGGGGAAGGACGGTGCTTGTGGCCGCTCTCCCACCACCGTGGGGCTCTCGGGGTTCAGTTTCCCGGGGCATGTGTATGGGGACCAGAGACTTGCCTTCTGGATTCTTCACTTAAGCTCTTATTCCCAAATTGTGAGCATCCATCTGTCATCGTTGGAAGGTTAAAAAAAAAAAAAACTTTACAAAGGAGAGTCGATGAAATGGAATTTGAGTCCCACCTCGTTTTTATTCTGTTCAGCTCTGGTGCTGAGGCCAAAGTACAGTTTTCCAAGTTGCACTTCCCACTCAAACACCCCAGGGCAGAGATGCCTGCAGGTGTCCTCTCCTCATGCTCTCGTCCTAACGAGGCATGCCCCAGAGAGCTCGGCATCTTTTCTCTCCTCGCCCTTCTCCTGTTGACAGTAAATACCCTTGCCCTCTGACCCAAAAAATCCCACACACCGATTTACCTGCTTTACAGTAAACAACATAGGACCCTGCCAAACAACCGGCCGTGCCTGTGAACAGGGGGTCCGGGCTTGCCAACCAGATCAGGACACAACAATTAGCGTGCAGGAAAGCGCACGCCTGCTCAGGCACGCACACACAGGCACTCCCACCAGTGGCAGGACAGGGATCCTCCTGCTCGCCCGCTGACTTTTAACCCTCCTCCCACTTGAAAGCAGGCCATAAAAGGTACGTCACTATGAACAGACCCCTGAGAGTCAAGGAAACCATCATGGCTGGTTTGCCCAGCCAAGCCGCGTTGGGAAACAGCACAGGCAGTAAGCTCCCAGTCCGGCTGGCTGGAGCTAGTTTCGTTACAGGAAAAAAGAACTCACACCAGTCTGATCTGATCTCCCCAACGCTGGTAAACATTACAGTTGTGCAATCACTTGATCTCACGCTGTGACAGTAACCTAGGCGCCCCGCTCACTTCCGAGTGGTGTTCCGAACCCACCTCGGGGTACTCAGCAAGGGGCTGCCAGGTGCCGGGGCTCCTCTGCTTTCTGCAGCCTCAGAATGCACAGATCTCCCCTGCCCGCCGGCGGCATGAGCGCAGCAGCACAGCTCCCAGGCTGCTGTGCTCCGCCCACCACCGCCCACCTCCTCAGTCCCAGGGTTCAGTCCAGCCTCTTTCCACAGGTCCCTTCTGTGGAACTGCAGTCTGATACGAACCAGGGAAAGCCACCCTCTTCAATACCGCTGTGAGCCCGGACTGGTGTGGCTCAGTGGGTTGGGTGTCACCCTGCAAACTGGAAAGTCATTGGTTTGATTCCAGGTCAGGGCACATCCCTAGGTTGCTGGCCAGGTCCCCAGTAGGGGGCTTGCAAGAGGCAACTGATTGATGTATCTCTCCCTCTCTTTCTCCCTTCCTTCCCCTCTCCCTAAAAACAAATAAATAAATTCTTTTAAAAAATACTGCCTCAATATTTCTATTTTCTTCCATTTGTCATTCTAAGTCTCCCCCTTTTGGGGGGGGGGGCTATCAAATGCTCCTGAATATTTCTCAATCTTGTTGCCTCGGCTGCTCTTACCACTGGCCAGGTGTCCCGAATGCTCGGTTTTTCACAGATGGAACAAGAGCCTCCCTCCCTCTGAGCTTCTTTCCACTGGGATTTCTGGACCCACCTCATTTTCAACGCAGCCCACGTCCGTCCACGGGGTAGTTTCTTCCAGGTGCTCTTGTTTTTGTCCTTACTCCTGCTTCACTGCAGTCATTAACTGCCGTCCCTTTCCTCTGGCGGGGCCTTTCCTCCCATTCTAAGCTTACTCCACATACTCATCATCAGATGTGCAAACTTGCGTCATTTTCGCCCGTGGCTCTCCGACTGTGATTGCACCCGCACCGCAGCTGATCGAGAGGATAAAACTGAATCTGCTCCTGCACTGGGGCCAGTGACAGTTGCCAGACGTGAGGAGGGAAAACAGGGCCAGCGGAGGCACCTGGGAGAGGAAGGAAGAAGCACATGCCCAGGTGACTTACTATAGCCTCTTTTTACCTGGATGTCAGAACCAGGAAATCAGGGTGTTGTATACATAAACACAACCCGTTTCTTACTCCAAGGTTCCAAATATAGGGCAGTCACAAATACAGTGGCCTCTTACAGATTGAAAATGACAGCTTTCTTTGCAGATACAGATCTCTGGTTAATTGGGTATTGGGTCAGCAAATATTTACTGAGCAGCATCTGCCTAAGGCCACTCAGAAGGACTCAGAGATGACTCAGGTTCTTCTCCTTCCTCAGGAGATAGGCCTCCTCATTGCTCCTGACTCATACCAAATGCAGGTCTGCACAGGTCAACCAGCTTTGACAACTTCTGTCGTGAGGACCAAGAAGTTGTTTTTTCAAGGCGGTTTGACAAGCTCGTCACAACCCTCAAGCATCAGTATGGGAAGCCCTGGGAAGATGGAGTCACCTTTCTCACCAGGCGCTTCTTACTGATTTACCTAGTGGCTGGGATACTCATTCTGGGAAGGCAAAGGGTTGGCTTGATCCAAATCAATCTTAAATGTACAACGGTGTTCAAGTTCACCAAAGTTACAAATTTGACTTATTCTTCCAAAAGTTTTCCTTCAGTGCTGGAGTGACTCACCTCTGACAACTCAGAGGCCCCAGCAGGGAGCAAGGCAGGGACGCTGAGCATTCTGTGTCCCTGGTGCAGCTGAGTAGCTAACACATAATGGACCCTCCATTAATAGTGGTGAATATTTGATTGCATGAAGCACTAGAGTGACATCCTTGTAAATAAGTATGTTGCAATGCATAAAATCACTTTATAAATGATCAAGTTAACTTCATACATGAATATATGATCTCTTTACATTACTACCATCTTTTATAGGAAGGCCTGATATAAAAGAACTTAGCATGGTCTCTGACACATGGTAGGACATCAATAAATATATTTTTATGCTCCATTTTCTTCTTTGAGAAACAAAAAGACCCTTCTTTTAACATTTGTGACTAATTCTCCTAGTCTTATCTCATGGGTAAGATCTTTCATTGGGTTAGTCTTCATAATTCCATCAAAAACCTGGTCTCCTTTTCTCTCTCACCCAAAATGGCAACTGATATAGTTTGAACTTGACCTTTTATCAAGGTTCAGAGGTGGAGGATCCCAAATTCAAATGCCTACATGAGCCAAGAAGGTAATAAGAAAAATAGGGTAGAGCAGAACAATGGAAAAGGGTGGGACCCGTGGTGGGTTAGAGAATATATTCCCTCTGTAGGATATTCTGGGGGGTGTGTGTGTGTGTGTGTGAGAGAGAGAGAGAGAGAGAGAGAGAGAGAGAGAGAAGCAGTACTGGATGACACAAACCCAGCCCTGTGCTCTGTGCTTCTGTAATACTAAAATTGTTGCAGTTTTCTGAACAGCTTTACATCTTCTCTGGGCCCTTATTCAGGCGATGTTCTCTGCCTGGACACTCACCCCTCCCTTGGACCCCTTCTGGGACTATTTCTACTCATATTTGTCCTCCAAGAATCAGTGCAGCTGCCACCTGCTTCAGGGGCCTTCTCTGATTCTCAAGGCTGAGTAGGGGACTATGTGGTGTATCAAGGATACATCAAGCACCAGCTCCTTAAAGGCCAAGGCTTACTTTACTGATTACAGTACTTAACACGGAGTGAATGCTCAGTAAATATCTTCAGGATGAATGAAGAAATGTGTGAATGAACAAATGAGTAAATGAGGGTGGCCCCTTTTCCCACTCTGCAGCCCAATCCCATCTTACCTAGAGGCATCCACTAAAGTGAGAAAAGTAAAAGGGAGATAGTGAGTGAGTTCTCACTGCTTTACTTAGGTGAACACATGCTGGAGAAGCTGACTTGAACTCAGAAAGAGCAGAGCAACAGGCCCAGATGTGTTTGTACTTGAAGGAAGCCGCTCCTCTCAGCCTACACTGTTGGGACTGCTGAAGAGCTGCCCGGGGTTAGAATGTGCCATGTGGGTCTTGGTACCCAAACACCCCTGTGTCTTTGCAAAAGTTGTGGGTCCATCTGGCCATTTCAATGAAAAGTACATTATTTCTTAGCAGCAATTATCACCCTAATACACTCAGAAAAAGGAGTCCTCCAACATCAGCCTGAATGGAGAAAACATATTTGTTTAACACTGACTCTACCACTTGTATGGCCTTTGGTCAAAGGAAATAATGAGATCTGATTGGTCCTATAACTCCGGCCTTCTATGCAGCAAAGATGACCTGTGTTAGTTATGAAAAAGTATGTATCACATGACCCTAGTTTGTGCAGGGGAAAGGAAAGGAGACTGTCTGTCTGTGTGTCCATCCATCTGTACTCCATGCACTGGAATGTCATTCTGGATCTTTTTCATTCAAACAGCCCATGCTCAAAGGCAACCCAGAAAACTATTCAACAGACATCCATTGTCGGTGTAATAAACCTCCTCTATGGCTTGGATGACAGTTCAATTTACCAGTTAAACAGGGATGGTGCTTCCATGTCCATATCTCCCTACCATTTTCATCTGAACCTTTTCCTTAGGTCGGAATGCTACTCCCGTCCCTCTGCTCTGAGTCACGTGAGGCTGGCCCACCACTGACAGCAAGGAGCACATTTATGGAAGGAGACATTGGTGTTATCAGTTGGTTACACCATGAAGCTAACTGGCACTCTATTGAGCTGTTCACCCCAGTTTCCGCAGTATCCCAGTTGGAAACTGCTGGGAAATAGGTGATGGGGAGAATTAGTTGTTACTAGTTCTAGGACACACGGGTGACTGATCTCGCCTCCCCTCCCCCATTGCTCATGACATACGACAATTTCAAAATTTTTTTTTTTTAGTTAAAAGAGACTCAAAGAGAAGATACAGACCCAGAGACCCATGGAACAAAATGGAAAGTCCAAAAATGCACTCGCACAAATACACCCATTTGATCTCTGACACAGCGTAAGCACAATTCGGTAGAGGAGAGATGGTATTTATTGGAGTATTTGGTCACCCACAAGAACAGAGTTAGACCTTGACAGGAAGCTCACACCTTATAGAAAGATTAACTCAAAATGGATCATAGTCTAAATGAAAAACATAAAGCTATACAGTGTCTAGAGAAAACCAGGACAAATCTTTGTGAACTGGGCTTAGACAAAGCGTTCTTAGATGGACACCCAGTGAAAGATGTATGAAAACAATAAAAAATTGAGCTTCATCCAGTTCAAAATTTTAAACTTTTGTTCTTCCAAAGATACTGTTGTGAGGATGAAAAGACGAGATGTGGAAGAGGAGGATACGTTGGAAAACTACAGCTCCGGCAGAGGACTTGTCTGCAGAATAGACACAGAACTCTCCAACTCAACAATAAGAGAACAAGGAACAATGAAAAGGGGGCAAAGGACTTGAAGAGACACTTCGCCAAAGAGGATGCAGGATGACAAAGGAGCACAGGAGTCAGTATCAAAAACATGATAAGAAACAATAATTCACATGCTGATTTGAATGGCTAAAATTAAAAAGAAATACGGAAAACACCAAGTGCAGATAAGTACATGGAGCACTAGAAATGTCATAGCTTTTGAGCGGGAATGTAAAGTGGTACAGTCACTGTGGAAAACAGCTTGGCACGTTCTTACAAAGTTAAGTGTACATCTGACGCCCGGCAATGCCACTCTTAGGTCTATGGCTCAGAGAAACAAACCCTTGGTTTGCACAAAAGCCTGTGCGTGACTGTTTGCAGCAGCTCTACTTGTGGTGGTCTGAATCCCGACACCCCCCAACGCTCTTCAGTCTGTGGCTGGGTAAAGGAACTGTGTGTGGTATAAGCATACCACAGAGTCCTACATAACAGTAAACAGGAACAAACTATTGATATCTACAACATGGAGAAATCTTAAAGTTATTATGTTGAGCGAGAGAACCCACTTTCAAAAGGTTACACACGGCATGATTCCATTTATTTGGCATTCTCAGAAACTCTTAAAAAATATTCAGCTGCAATGGTGAAGAACAGATCGGTGGTTGCCAGGGGTCTGGGGTAAGGGGAGGATGCTACTTCAGTCCTTTGTCTTCAACTTTTCCTTGCTTTGCAGTCTGTTCTTCCTGCAGTAAATGCAGTTACCCGCGCCCCCCCCCCAAACACACTTTCTAGCATGGTATATTTCTATCCATCCTTATACTTTTAATCTTTATATCTAAAGTAGGTTTCTTGTAGACAACATATAGTTGGGTCTAGTTTTTTCGACCCACTCTGACAATCTCTGTCTGTTCATCGGTGAATGTAGTCCATTCATATTTACAGCAATTATGGGTATGGTTGGGTCCGTGCCTACCTTTGTCACTGTTTTCTTGCCTGGTGCACCGTGGCTGTGACGCGTGCAGTTTGAGGTGCAGCAGTAAAACCAGCATGAATTTTTTTTTTCTTCACAATTTCAGGTAGAAGAGATTTTCTTACCCAGATCTTAGCAACCTCAGCATATGACGTTTTTTCCTTATTGAGAAACTTCACATTTTCATTTAAGGGAAGCTTTTCCCTGGAGTGTCTGAATTGCCAGCGTCACTACTCTTTTGCCCTGGGGACATTATTAAGTAAAATAAGGGTGACCTGACCACAAGCACTGACGGATATATGGAAACAGTTGATCTGATGACCAAGACAGCTACCAAGTGACTTAACAGATGAGTCATGTATACAGCGGGGACATCCGGGACAAAGGGATGATTCATGTCTCAGGCAGGACAGTGCCAAATTTCATCACA